TAAGAGAATCACTTGAGCCTAAGAGTTTGAGGTTGCAGTGAGCTATGATCAGACTACTCCAGCCTGGGTGATAAAGTGAGACCTTATCTCTTTAAAAAAAAAAAAAAAAAAGGTGACACAATTGGGAGATGAGCCTCTTTTGCCTAATCCTTTCTTCCTGCTTTGAATTTGAACATGGTGACTAGAGTTCCAGCAGCCATCTTCAACCATGAGGCAATCCTGAAGATGACACTAGCAATAAAATGGGGTGCAGAAAGAAAAAGGAAGCTCTAAGTCCCTAATGATTATGGAACGTTCATCCCAGACTTGTACTGCCCATACACCAGAGTCGCTTACGTAAGAGAGAAATACATTTCTCTTCTTTAAGCCAATTAGCTGGGTTTTCTATGTATAAAGTCAAACCTAATTCTTATTTCCATCTAGCTTTTCATTTTCTCTTTTTTGATAGACATGAATTCAAGAAATATCTCACTTTGCGCTTAGCTCTATTATAAGAAAAATATTAATGCAGGCTTGATGATAAATCACAGTTGATACCTGGCTTCAGAGCAACAAAGAGCAACAAAGAAGGGTGGGAACTATGGAGAAGAAACAAAGCTAATGGAGAAGAACCATTTCTCCCACGAAGCAATGTTCCAGTTTCTGACAGCACTCAAAGAAATAATAATTACATTCTCTGGGCAGTGCTTGTGGCTCAAAGAGTAGGGTGCCGGCCCTATATGCCAGAGGTGGTGCATTCAAACCCAGCCCTGGCCAAATACTACAACAACAAAAGAAAAAAACTTAGATTCTCTGCTCTGTAGGAATTTTCAAGAGGGTATAAACTAAGAGAAAAAAAAGATGGGTTCTAGTTCTGGCTCTACCTCCAAGTATTGTAAGATTTAAGTTATTAGGCTGGGTACAGTGGTTCACCCCTGTAATCCTAGCACTTTGGGAGGCTGAGGCAGGTGGATAGCTTGAGATCAATTCTTGGGACAGCCCTGAACAAGAGCCCTGTCTCTACTGAAAAATAGAAAAACTAGCTGGGCATTGTGGCAGATGGTTATAGTCCCAGCTACTGGGGAGGGTGAGTAAGGTAAGAAGATCACTGGAACCCAGGAGTTTGAGGTTGCTCTAGCCTAGGGAACAGAGTGAGACTTCCTCAAAAAAAAAAAAAAAAAAAGAAGATTTCAGTTATTTAATCTTTCCAAAGCTCAGTTTTCCCCTCCATGAAATATGAGAGCTAGAATAAATAAACTCAGGGCAGTGCCTGTGGCTCAGTGGATCGGGCACCGGCCCCATATACTGAGGGTGGTAGGTTCAAACCTGGCCCTGGACAAACTGCAACAACAACAGAATAAAATAGCCGGGCATTGTAGTCCCAACTACTTGGGAGGTTGAAGCAAGAGAATCGCCTAAGCCCAGAAGTTGGAGGTTGCTGTGAGCTGTGACACCATGGCACTCTACCCAGGGCAATAAAGTGAGACTCTGCCTCTAAAAAAAAAAAAAAAATAGAATAAATAAACTCTATGTTCCCTTCTTGCACTGAAATTCTGTGATCTTATCTTCCTGGGATCAAAGAGTCAGCCATTTGGGTGAGGAGCTGGGATGAAGATGAGGTGCTAATAAGTTTAGCATACTTTAGAAGTCTCAATTACTTCTCCTTTGTCCTCTTACTTTATTTTATTTTATTTTTTTTTTATTTATTATTATTTTTTTTTGAGACAGAGCCTCAAGCTGTCCCCCTGGGTAGAGTGCCGTGGCGTTACAGCTCACAGCAACCTCCAACTCCCAGGCTCCAGCGAGTCTCCTGCCTCCGCCTCCCAAGTAGCTGGG